TGTTTCTAGCTAAACACAGTGCGATTATAATACACGGAACAATTAGCTAAAGGCAGTGTGACGTCACTGGTAACCTTAGGAGAATATTTTCCTGGTGCAGTTCCTGTTCAGTGAACGGCTGCATCATCACAATGAACTTCACATTTTTAATACGCACTGTGAAATTTATTAGCGATTTAAAGTTTATTTCCCACAGAATCGACAGCTACTGTTTCTCTAACTGATAGGAACGTGTTCCCATACCACGTTCTCCATTTTTTAAAGATTAACTTTGCACCGGACGACGTGGTGAAACCTGTGGGAAAATTTCCAACCTTGTACGCCTTATTGGCTGTACATTGAAGTAGTCTTGTAAGTCCTATTGGCTGTACATTGAAGTAGTCTTGTAAGTCCTATTGGCTGTACATTGAAGTAGTCTTGTCCGCCTTATGGGCTGTACACTGGAGTAGTCTTGTAAGTCCTATTGGCTGTACATTGAGGTAGTCTTGTAAGTCCTATTGGCTGTACATTGAAGTAGTCTTGTAAGTCCTATTGGCTGTACATTGAAGTAGTCTTGGAAGTCATATGGGCTGTACATTGAAGTAGTCTTGTAAGTGCTATGGGCTGCACATTGAAATAGTCTTTTAAGTCCTAGTGTCTGTATATTGAAGTAGTCTTGTAAGTCCTATTGGCTGTACATTGAAGTAGTCTTGGAAGTCATATGGGCTGTACATTGAAGTAATCTTGTAAGTGATATGGGATGCACATTGAAATAGTCTTGTAAGTCCTAATGGATGTACATTGAGGTAGTCTTGTAAGTCCTATTGGCTGTACATCGGGGTAGTCTAGTAAGTCCTATTGGCTGCACACTGAAGTAGTTTTGTAAGTCCTATTGGCTGAGAAGTAGTCTTGGATGTACATGGAGGTAGTACCTCATAATCGAACTTATCTAATGCTACTCTAGTTCTGCTGTGGTGAGGCTGTGTATTATAGATTATGCAGTGGCGTAGGCTAACTATCTAATGCTATAGTAGTAATAATAATAATAATAAAGTTCATTTCAAAAACACGTGTCATCCCTAATTAAGGCTCGAAGCGCGTTACAAAGTCAACCGTATATGACAATTTAATTTTTTTTCCACAAATATAATACAAAACACAACAATACAAAATCTACATTGAGGAATATGAGCAAGATGAAAACAAGGAGGTAGACTACATCATCCCAGCAGGTGAGTGCGAGAAAGATGTGTTTTCAACTTAGTTTTGAAAGACTGCAGTGTATATAGTATATAGACATAGGCTATCTTATCTAATGCTATATATTATAGACGTAGGCTAACTTATCTAATACTATACATTATAGACGTGAGCTAACTTATCTAATGCTATAGCTTATAGACGTAGGCTAACTTAGCTAATACTATAGATTAATGACGTAGGCTAAAATTATCTAATGCTATAGAATTATAGACGTCTGTGAAAAATATGTGCTAATTGTCTTGTTCTATTCACGAAAGAAGCCTTTCCGTCGTAAAGTCTGTATTAATTGTCTTGTTCTATTCACGGAAGAAGTCTTCCATGCCAAAACGTCTCTATGATTATTGATAATGTGTTCTATGTTTTATGGCACCCCGGCATGCTAAAAGCACGAAACATGTCACAGATTTTAATCAGGCCAATTTTTATTTTTTTTGAGGACCATCCATACGCGATGTCACTCGCCTGTGAGGGGGGGGGATGAGGGGTTTGGGGTCATGAATTTGTGACCATGTGTGAAAAAAGTTTCTAATTATTTGTGCTATGTGGGATAAGAGAGGGTGGGAGGTTAAACAATCGGGTATAATAGTGGGACGTCAATAATGGATGACCCCTTTACTAAAAAAAGCACCCCCCTCCCCAAACAACAACAACAAACAAACAAACAAACAAAACAAAACAACCCAATATTGACTTAGGGGGCGTCCATTAATTATGTCAACAATTTTTAAGCGATTTCGACCCATTCCCCCCCCCCTCTTATCAAGAACTGTTAAACTTTCAACGACCCCCCCCCAAAA